TATTCTCCAAAGGAAAAAAAAGTAAATATTTTATACATACTATTTATTTGTAAAAGAGTTTCTGACTAGAACCCAGAGTCATGCCAGGACCTCAAGTTAGACTTAGTCTAATCAATTTGACCTATCAGATTATGGCCAACTTCAATCTGGATGTTCATAAAGATGACTGAACTACATAGACAGTAGTCATAAACATTAGACTTTCTGTATTTTAAAGGCCCCAAATCTTGCTTCATAATTATTGAGACAGTCTTGATATCTGGTTTTCAGAGCATGGTAGCCTCTTAGTAATAGGAAATTAGGAAAGAGAACGTCAGTCTAGTCTTGATAATATAATTAATATTGATATCAATAATGACTACTCTGTGCTAAGCACTGCTATAAGTACTTTATTTGGGTTAATTTTATTATACCCCTGACAACAAGACAAAGAAATGCATACATACATGCTGCTGCCGCTAAGTCGCTCCAGTCGTGTCCGACTCTGCACGACCCCATAGACAGCAGCGCACCAGGCTCCCCCGTCCCTGGGATTCTCCAGGCAAGAACACTGGAGTGGGTTGCCATTTCCTTCTCATACATACATACATACATACATATAATATTATCCCTACACCTAGTTAATAATTAAAAGTGGGAATTGAACCCAACTGTTTTATGCCAAAGCTTCTGTTCTTAATATATGTTAGTACCACTATGACAGTCCAACATGGAGAAGACAGATCATATGTTTTTATCAGGATTTCCATTAAATTGTGATAAAATTTTAGCTTATACAGTTCAAATACCTGAAGAATTCTTGTACAAAAAGTACCCCGTTCTTCAGTGATGCTGGCTAAATAGATTATAACCAGTTGCTTGATGATAACCAGTTGTTATATGAAGTTTTTTGTAGCTCATTTGAATATGAATAAGGTTTTAATCATATTGCTTTTTATTTTAGGCCTTGAACCAATGACAATGATTGATTTAACTGAATTTAGAAAGAGCAAAAGTTTAAAGCAGCAGCAGTACAGAGCTGAAAACCAGGTTCTTTTGAAAGAGGCAAGTGCAGTAGTCAGCTGGCTATTTTCCTGGTTGAAGCAAAGAGCAATACTAATGGTTTATACCTTGTAGATTGAAAGTCTAGAGGAAGAGCGACTTGATCTGAAGAAAAAAATTCGTCAAATGGCTCAAGAAAAAGGAAAAAGAACTGTCACTTCAGGTATACTCTGTTACTCCAGACCTTTAAAGAGTCCTTAGAAAATGAATTGTGTGGATATAGAATTTTCTGTAAGTTGGAAATAGTATTGCTATATTCCTGTGGTTTTGCTACAGGTTTAATAAATGAAAATAATGGCCTGATGAGAGTGTATGAGCGTCATTGAGTTCAGTCCTAAATCTGAAACAGTTAAAAAGAATAATAAGTGAACAAAAAACAAACTTCAGAATCATGGACTTTAGAAAACTTTATAGTATAATCTTACTAATTTCTAGTCAATCACAATATGTTGTGATTAGTAATGATAAAACTTAGTATTTCATTAATATATATTACTGTTAATATTTTCTCTCCTTAAAAGCTATGTCTTTGAAGCTTTCTTTGTACATTTTTCTTTGCTAAGTGAAAGTAATGCTTTATTGAATAAAAATTAACATCTTTTTTGTTTTTATTTATCTTACATGATATAAAGAGAACAGTTGGTTTAGTTCTTTAATAGCTATTGCTTTTTTGTAAGAAGACCATAGGGACAATTTTTTTCCTAACTTGGCCCAAGCTCACAAGTATCTGTGAATAATAAAGATTTTTTTCTTTTTAGCATTATGCTCTTTATAGTACATCAAAAATTTCTAGAAGGGCAAAACTTGGTAATTTATTAATATATTAAGCAATTTAGTAATCATTCATTATTCTTTGTGTGTATATATTTTAACTATTTTAGCACTTATTAATATGTGAAAAAAGAATGATAGAGAAGATAGAATTTGTATTGTTTCTTATTAATATCTTATTAAAAGTGGCCTAAATCAGGCAGTTGTAAAGGAGGCTACATATGGATCAAGGATTTTGGAATAACTATTTTACCTTTTGTTTGAGTTAAAACTTGATTTAGTTTTTAAGAATTAAAGTATTGGGGGCTTACCAGTGGTTAAGAGTCCGTGCTTCCACTGCAAGGGGTGTGGCTTTGATCCCTGGTCTGGAAACTAAGATCCCACATGCTATGAGGCATAGTCAAAAAAAAAAAAAAAGCATTAAAATATTGGGATAACTAAAGAGTTATTTTTATGTTGCTCATTTGTTAATTCTTTTATTTGTAGGATTAATTGCTGAGGACCTGAACCTAACTGAACACTTTTCTCAAGAGAATAGAATGAGAGAAAGAAAATTTGATTTCATGAGCCTCAAAAATATGAGTGAAGAACAGTCAAAGGTAAATAGTAAAGTATTACTATGGCGAAGAGAATGAATATTATTATCAGCCTTTCATTTCTTCTCCTATTATCTCATTTTGGACATTGCTTCTTTTTATACTTGTTAAAAAATCTCAGATAGATCCCAAGATTGATTAATGAAATGTTGTTTACTCTGAATACAGATTAGGAGTTCAGATAAAGTAGAGCTGCCGCATAGGAGACCATCATTCAATATTCCACAGTCATATCAGAATGAGCCAGAAGAGAATATGACCATGGGATCATTATCGAGAATGTTATCTGAAATTCACCAGAATGTAGAAAGCGAAGTGAATCCTTTTGTCTCTTTAACTACACATTCTTCATCCGTACAAGTGAAAGATAATATTTCACCTCCAGAAACTATTACAATAAGGGAGATTTTTAAAGCACCCTGTCTACAGTCTTTAAGAAATCTAGAATCATTAATCAGTACCTTTAGTAGAGATAGTCATGAAGAAATAAACGAATATTTATGTTCTCTTTCTGATGAGTCTATGAAGAAAGTGACAAGAAGCCATCAGGCACTTGAAAAGACTAATTTCACACAAAAAAATGATTCATCTTTACGAGCCTTATCAATAGCTTCAGATTTAACACAGAAGTTATCACTTAGGCAAAAATCAGCAATATTTTGTCAACAAATTCATGATAATAGAGCTGGCATGGAAAAATCACAAGTAGCAACATCAGAAGATGAACAGGTTCATACCCCAGTCAACTTTGCTGATAC